TTCTTGATACACTTCTCGACTTCCTACAGACACCACACACGGTAAAATGGCTACCTAATTAGCATGGATTTTTCACAGTGATTTTCGATGGCCATATAAATCCAAATATATTTTACTTAAAATCTGCACAAAATGAGGTTCCTTTTACTCTTTTGGCAGGAAATCACATTGTTCTCACATTTTATACCCCAAGAAAAGTTATCTTTCGGTCTTAAAAAATTTCTGATTATGAGATTGTTAAGACCGCATGATGTTCACACACAGCATCGCACATGTCCGCTTACCAGTGCTTCTCAGGAAATGTACAAAATAGTCCGCATCCATTGCAAACTTTTTTGAAGTCTACATGGTATTCTCTTAAAGTCATAGACGAATACATGGTTTTGCGTACGCGGAAACCATGCACCTTGCAGACCGAAATCGCTAAACCCCAATTCAAAGGTTGATTCGGCTCAAAATTATTCGGGAATTGGGAAACATTTTCAAAACCTAAAAATACAGTTTCTTCGGGCATAAATGCGAAGACAATGTGATTTTCTGCCAAAAGAATGAACGGAAGCATATCTTTGTTCATCTTCTCTAAAAAATATGCTTCAATTTATCAAATCACCGAAAATTAGTGTGAAAAGTGCATACTAATCAGGTTTTTACCGAATGTGGTTTTTGCAGAAGATTAAAAAGAAGCGCATTTAAAGGCAACCATCGTGGGGAGTCGAAAATAGCATGGGATTGTGTCGCAGGGTAATCGTTGTTACAGTCCCACCTAAGAAATACTTTCTGATCTAAAACGCATTTCAGAAATTCTGCCAACATTTCACGAGATCGGTCACACACTGCACGTATGGTGTTACAAAAACGACATTTTTTGAATCCTAAAAGGTTAAGCGTGAAAATGGCCGTCCTGTTTGGGCAATGCATTGGGCCAATTGCGATTTTCCAGAGGTCAGAGTTTGACACCCGCATGAAACCTATTTCCCATAACTAAAACATAAATAGTGGCATAATTTCGCTGTAAGGGAGAAGACGCGAGTTCAAACCTCATAAGGACGTCAGTATCTGATACTAAATAAGGCCTACCAGTCTAAAGGCCAGACTGATATGTGGAACTCAAGATGGGCATTCAGTTCGGACCACTCCTCTCGAAGTCGCCTCTCGATAGGATCAGTTACCTGCTGTTAGTAATATTATTGGCATTTAAGAAGATACCACATAGATTTCATGAAATTTTGCGATGGGTCCGGACAGTGTTGTACATTTCAGGAGGAGCCTTGGTAAACGGACACATGCTGTTCCGTATGCGTGGCGGTCTTAAAAATTTCACAATTAGAAACTTTTTAAAACACTTTTTTCGGGTATAAAATATAAACCCAACATGATTTTTTAAGAAACGAGTAGAAGAAAGCATATTTTTGTGCATGTTTTCTACGAAATATTTTTGAATATATAAGACCATCGAAAATCAATAGGAAAAATACATGCTAATTAAGTAGTCATTTTTTACCGAGTGTGGTTTCTGCGACAGGACAAAAAGAAGTGCATGAAAAAGTCGACATCCTAGCAAGTCTAAAATACTGTAGGATTATGCGGTATGCCGATCGATACTACAACCTCTTCTAAGTAATCCTTCTTAATCGAAAACGCATTTCAGAATTTCGGTAAACATTTCATGAGATCGGTCACGCACTGTAGGACGACGTTATGGTGGGTAATTTGGAGCCTCTTCGCGAACGCAGGAAAGACTGCATGTTGACCGCGATCAGCCGGTTTGCTGCTATCCATATCTTCATTAAAATAGACTGGTCCAGACGTAGAAGGCCTGCCACGAGAGCAGTCGCTGTAGAAGTTGTTGTGTACTTGTGGTAACCTGCTGACGCGTTGAATGGGGTCTTCTGGGTCAGAGGGGTAATAAAATCCGCAAGGATATATATATATATTTTGCGGCAAGCCTGATCCCTGTCAGCGGCAATAAGGGGAAACATACACCGTGATCCAGACGAAGTAACACATTATTGAAATCATTTGCAGCGGGGACGTCGGTTCAGTAGCCGCACAGAACCTGGAGAGGACTTGCACTATCCACCACACGGATCATCGAAGTGGGTGTTAGAGGATAGGCCGACATACAGGGCCCTACGGACTATGTTCTGAGTCAGATAGCTAGATGGTTACGTTCCGCCTGTCGTATTTCCTTTAAACATAAACGCAGACCATGCGGTCAATGCTGGACGTCCATAAAACCATTGAAAATACCGAAGGAGGTGAGGAAGGGTGTGGTATTACGTAAGGTGCATGTTGTACTACCACTGGATGAGTGCGATTGCTCGCATTCATTGATATCATACTAACGCTTACGTTGGTGGGGCACAGATCGATCAGACTCCGCTGTTTAAATGTGCCGCCACTGATATGAGACCTAAAACTCTCTAACTTAGTTCATATTCACTCATTATGTTGGGCTTATCTTAGACAGTCTCTCATAGTCCCCGGAATAAAGTTTTTATTGACTCACCTCAAACTTGACCTATGTTATTCGTAACGTTGTCGTGATAGCAGCAGTGGAGAATCTGTCAGGTCCGAAATTGTTAATGTTACCTCTGTCTAATCGGTTCGAAGAAATAACGTCTCGAATACCGACTTGTGTCATATCAGCGAAGTGCACCATTGTAACCACAGTTCACAGAAACTTTGTTCTAGTTGGTTCTGACAGGACAAGCTGTGGGGTGATTTCACTCTCGCTACAAAGCATTACGCATAGGCTCTGAGTCAATGCTTCCAACTCAGCCAATATGCATAAGGCTGCCATACGATTGGTCTCGCAGAACGCCAATCACAATGATCGCTTTATTTTTGGTGTAGCGCAAGCCTCGTCAAGGCTTCGGATCTTCGACTGACTCTCAGTGAATCTTGTGAATGCATGTGTTCGCCATTAATGAGGGAGTGATTTTCCGGCACACTAGCAAAATGACACATCTGTACTTTGGTGTAGGCTTTGTTTTGGCAGCCGAGCAACATTTCAAAAGTTTATTTGAATTTCATATTGACACAACTGTGAGAAATTCGGCGTCTCGTGGGATTCGAACCCACGCAGTAAGGGGAAGGCATTAGTACAGCCAACGCTCTAACCACTTGAGCTACGAGTCCCCCCGGACGACGCGAGTTGAACCACATTTGGGTCAAATTACGCGCCCAACCTACTGCAACGTCTGGAATCCACTAAATCTGATACAGTACGTTGACTGCCAAGCAAGATTTCCTAAGTAATTCACCTGGAATCCACCAGATGACTACCTGGCTCACGTAATTTATTAATGTTTTGGAAGATTTTCACAGTTGAGTCAATATGAATTATTCAAAATCTACCAAAACATCTTCGAATTATTTGAATCTGTAAACAGAATAAGCGCGAGTCAAAACTGTCATAATGTAACCTCATCTTTGTCTAAAAAACCCTCACTTTAACTTTCAACTAAATTTGACATAGTATGTTATTGCATGTCCGGGTTCTCTAACGATGATTGTCTCTGGAAATCACTGGGTTCGATGCGAGTTTGTTTTTCCTAATATTGTCAGTTATGTAATTTTGCCTATAGTGCTAACTGCTGAGCGGCTGCTAACGGAACTCGAGAATGAGCTCCAAGGGACGACGTGACGAATTTGATGAGTGGCCGTCTACCATTGCTAAGGTGGCCTACCCAAAACAATAGGTCAAGAAGCCCGTGGCTCGGTGGTTAGGGCGAGGACTTCTAACCAAATGTTCTCATAATCGAGTCTAAGGTGTTGCATACGTGGGGGTTGTGTGTAGTTGGCCGCGGATGGCTGATAAGCTAGAAACGGTCAGTCCGGTCAGCCTTGTCTTTGTCGACAATGTCATTCCCTCCTACAGTAGGTGAGCTGACATAGGAAATGTCAATCGAAATTCCGAAAGGCGTTTTCGTTTCGAAAAGATTAATTAAGTGTTGGCGCAAAACTAAGTATCCTGCAGCATATTTCTATAATGATTCAGTTGCCTCAAGATGCCGGCCTTCGAACACACTTCTTTCCGGCTGCATGCAGAAAACACACTCTGTAAAAAATGCCTACTTATGTAGTATGCATTTTTCTCATTTATTTTCGATGCCCTTAAAAAATTCAACCATAATTCTCGGAAAACATGCATCAGAATATTCATTCTCTTGCTCATTTGGTAGAAAGGTACGCCTTTTCTAAATTTTATACTCGCAGGAAGGGTATCATTTGGTTTTGAAAAAGTCTCTAATTGTGAGATTTTTTAATACCGGTAAATGGCCGTTCCTAAGACGCCCTGTCTGTGCATTTACTAATGTGACTTGTAAAATTAACATATGGGTCAAATCTACTGCTAAATTTTATGAAACACATATGGTTTCCTCTTCTTGCCGTAGAGAAATATGTGGTTTTTTTGGCACGCGGAAAATATATGGCATGTAATTTGGAAACTTTGAATGGGGGTGTAACGGCAGGTTGGGTTGGAAATTATTCAAGAATTGGAAACGTGTTTGAAAACCGAATTATACCGTTCTTTTGAGTATAAAACTAGAAGAAGACATCATTTTCTACCGAATGCGTAGAAAATCGAATATTTCTATGCCTGTTTTCTATAAATTTTAATTAAACTTTAAGGGGATTGAAAATCAATTCGAAAATTACGCTACGGACGTAGTCATTTTTTACAAAGCAGAATGTTTGCATACAACCGAAAAGCAGTTTGTTCAAAAGCCGGCATCCTGAGGTAACTGATTATTACAGAATTATGCTGCACAATGGTTAGTTTTACAACCCTATTTAATTAACCTTTTTGAAACGAGGACGCCTTTCGAAATTTCGTTTGATCTTTAATGTGTTAGCCCGCCTTCTGTACATGTGTATACCTTATTTGAATGGAGCAGTCGGAAGACCGTTCCGGAGAAACCTTAACATGCGAAATTAATGCTACGTTGTTGGCCATGGAGTAATCAGGTGGAATAACCCCGACCGACAGACCCATGGCGAGACCTCAAGATAAGATTTTGGCCGGATTCTATGGCCTCCCTAAGGTGCACAAAGAGGGCGCTCCTCTCCGAGCCATCATGTCGCTCTTCGGTACTCCAACGCACGGACTGAATAAGTGGCCGTTCTGGCGTCTCAAGTTTCTGACTGCTGAGTCGGTCACCACGGTCTCTTCGTCTGAAAAATTCCTGGAGAAACGTAAAGGGGTAAACCTCCCTCCAAATGAGATCATTGTACCTTTGGATGTTACATCCCTTTCTACTTCTATTCCCCAGGACCTGGTGATTGAGACAATCGAGCTACTTCTAAAAAGCAAATACAATGAAACGGAGAATCGTCTTGGACACGCCCAAGTCCTTCAACTCCTGAAGTTTTGTCTCAGGACGTACTTCACGTTCGACGGGACAATCTACGAACGGGGAAATGCCAACCAATGGGTCCGCCGATTCCGGGACCCATCGTCGAGGCGATCCTGCAACGGTTAGTGTCATAGGTCTTCCAAAACTGCAGACCGAAGTTCTGGTTCCGGTATATGGATGACAACTTTAGAGTTATCGACCGGGATCAATTACAGACATTCAAAGAACTTCTCAACGTTGTCCTCCCAGACGTCCCCTTTACGATGGAGGAGGAAGAGAACAACCAGCTGGTCTTTCTGGATGTCCTCGTTTGCCGCGAAGACTGCGGTGTCCTAAAGACCAAAATGCTCAGAAAAGCGACAATTACGAAGCAAGTCCCGAATTTCAACGGCAACCAGCCAGAAACGCAGTTGTGTAAGGCCGCTTTATCGGCGTGTCGAAACGCACTGCAGTGAGCCGGAAGACAAGATTGTCGAACTAAAATACCTCCGACAGGTCTTCAAAGCCAAAGGCTTACCGCGCAACTTCGTCAACCGGTGCATACGCAAACTGAACAAGGGCCAAGCCGCATGGTCACCAAATTTTTGTGAGCTCCTCCGTACGACAAGAACGTTTTGATGGTCGTCGGCCGCCTTCCCGCACCACTTGGGTTGGAGTTACACACAGGCCGGAGGCGACTATCAGGCGTCGGATAATGACACTGAAAGGCCCACTGCCACTGCAAGAAACGTCTGGAGTCGGTTATCATAGCTGATGCAGTTGCTAACAAAGCCACTACGTCGGTGAAACCAAGAGACTATCCCGAACACGAATGGCGGAACACGCAGCAGCAGTGCGGAGAAAGGACGCCAGCTCCCAAGTTGCGGCTGACTCGACTTAATCCGGACACGCATTTAATTCCAACGAGACCGAAATTCTCGCTAGAGGTGACAACCGCGTGAGCCGCGAGCTGCCTGAGTCAAGGTTTTTTGACCCCTAGTCTATTAACAAGTGCAGTGATCTTCCCCTTTCATTTTCGGTGTTGAGACATCGCCTAGGGGAGTAATTAGCCACGCGGAAAGCGCACAGGTGAACACTGTTACTAACGCCAGGGTCGGCGGGTCAGATGGTCGAGCCATCACCATTCTGACCTTCAACACTCGTAGTGAAATTGCAGCAATTAACGACACCAATTTCGGCCATCGAACAGTCATTGCACCAAGTGCGACGATCCCGGATGAAGGGGGGAGCTGTGAATGTTCATAGGTATGCGGTAGCATGGCAACTGCATCCTATAAATACCGCAGCCCCTTGTGAATGAACCACCCGTATCTGCCATTGTCTCCGACGATGGAATCGAGCAGGAATCCGAAACATCAAGCAAATAAGGCCCTTGTTCCAGAGAACCTGTCTCCTTCGTACTTTATACTTATTTATTTGCATTCCGTCCATTTTTTCGGTCATTAATTCATAGCAATTCTTTGGAAGCCATAATATACTAGGTAGCACATGGTTTTATTCATCATACTGCCAGGGTTTGAACGCCCTAATTGACAATCATTTCTTGACGGCCAGTGCCAGCACGGCGTTATAATTATTATAAGGCGCATGCTGGGACGTTGAATAAATTAGACAAAAAACTGTAAAGCCCTTAATGCTCGTCGGAATTGTCTACACTGTCAGACATGCCTGTAAAACAGTTAAGCACAGGATTTTATATCCGGAAACACATACTGACCTATCGCAGATTAGAACTTAAGACCGAATGATGCTTTAGATGATAAAGAGAGTGATAACGAAGGCACGATATCGATGGGGATAATGTGACGTACTTCAGCAACAAGTCCGATTCTGTCGTAGGAGGACGCTTACCGATCGTTTCTACGGAACTCACTCGTCCCGTTGTGCCTTACGGGCTCTCTCTCGAGCCCAACCAGCAGCCGCACAGCAGCGCATGATATGGGCAGAATGACATTACTGATAAAAACAAGGGAGACTGAAATGGTCATTTCTGGCTTATTAGCTTATGTCAGCCAGGCATACCCAGCCCCGAAGTGTGGAACACCTGGGGCTTGAACTCACGAACGGTTGGTTAGAAGTTCAACGCCTCTAACCACTGAGCCACGAGCTCGTTGTCTTGTAGTTTGCAGTCGGAAATATACAATGGTAGGGGGCACAATGAGACGAGTGAATTCTGTAGAAACGATCGGTGAGCGCCCTCTACCACTGCATATTGCCGAATTCATCATCGGATCACATTGAGCGAACAGCAATTGTGTGGTTGGTGCCATTTCTCCTCTCCACCGGTTCATGTGTGACTCTCCACCTTTGACAGAGACCTCTCGTCTTTCTGACGTACTTGACTTCCCTGTATCTGCAGCGAATATCGCAAAGCGTCCCATCCTGACACGATTCATTAGTAGGGGACGGGTGTTCGTCTTAAGATCGTTTGCAACCCTCACACCGATGGCATGCTAACACGATCGACAGCTACTCCAGGTTGGTGATTAATTTCCGAGGAAATTAAAAGCAACAGTTTTTACGACGTTCTCATTCCATAGGCAAATTTATGGAAACTTGGGCCTACTGGGGTCTGACCTCTCGTCACGTTTCTACATGTACCAGTCAACTAGAATGTTGTAAACCCCTGTCAATGCATTGAAATTAGGCAATCAGTTGTTTGGACTCTACGAACATCGGCGCAAGCTTCAGGCGACTGATTTTTCAAAACAGCGTACCTAGGTCAGTGACAATTAATTAAATCAGGAAGGCTTCAGAATTGCGAGTTACCGAAGCAGAATCACCTTTTTAGATCACAACAGAAAACTCCGAATGCTGGATACGACCTTCTGACATGTTGGTAAATCTATCTATTGTGCGCACAAGAACCTGTAATCGGCCCGCAACACTGTCAGGCCTCAGTTTCCTTTGAAATGCTTCGTGTAGATTGTCACCACAACACCGGTTCTTTGAAATGGCGGCTTTCACATGCAGAAAAGGCACGCCCGTGCGTAAATATCTACCCCTAGTCAGTCACAAAGTGCACACACTTTCCTCCTTCTCCTAAAATCCACCTTTCGCGTCGCACAGAAGCCGCATACAGGAATGTAAATATTAGGTTGCTTGGAAAATACTCGCCGAATTCAGCAACTAACATCTTTTTCCTGAAAACTTTAACACTGCATACGTCAGCATTAGTCGAAATATGGTCTTTGTAAGCTTACGCGTCTGAGACATCGATGAAAAAGAGTATTTCTGGTTAGATGGTAGTTGGTAGCCCTCCCGGTGCCGAAAACTCCCAACTACCTGTCTTACGGAACCAGTGGTAATAGGGGTTGAACGGGTGGGGCAAATGAGTGGAGGCGTAAATGGCGCTGGTAGTGTGCGCCTGGAAATGACGCTTCTGCTAAAGTGAAAGCCTAATTTAAATAAGGTGAAAAGTGCAAGATGGGTATGGAAATGAGCATGGTTAATTAGAACCGTATGCGAAATAAATGCAGCCTTACCCCAGATTGGAAAGAATAGCAATTGAAGGTGAACGACCAATGGGAAGAAGGCAGTGTGTCTTAAGGTCATTCCGCAGTATGTGCGATAGTATTCAAACAGACAGAATGGACATTAGAACACGAGAATAAAGCAGCGACACGCAGGACGGCATAACGCAAGCGGGGTAAGACTTTAATGCCAAGAATATGTTTGGGCGGAAGAGAAGATCCAGAAATAATAGTTTATAGCCACTGTGGACACATTTAGGATTAAAACTATGGCAGTAGTTTTGTGTTATACGTGGGTGGAGTATCGGTAGACACCCTATTTGCGCGACGGTTGTCCTTGTCGTACACGATCACGCCGCACTCTGCAGAAGGTCTGGAGTAAAAAGACCTAAGGACGCAGGCAAACCGACAAATCGGAGACCCGCGCCAATCCGCCTAGGATAGTAATGAGAAGCATGATGAATCATAATGCGCCTAGGATAAATCTTTCGCCTTTTACTAAAGATTTACGTGTGGGGAGTGCAATACGATGAATCTATATAAGCATTTTTGCAGCGCCACGTTCTCGGGGCGGTTAAAGTGAACAAGAAATTCACCCTGACAGGGCTTCTGCGCGTGCACTCCCAAACATAATAAGAACGTAATCACAGCTACTGAAATCGTAGTGCCTTAAACTGGAAGTGCAGGAAAGGATCGCTAACTCGCAGGGCTACCAACTACCATCCCGCAGTATTTCTAATTCGTCGACAAAAATTAACTGGTTATGATGTTAAAAACTCCCAGAATCCAGCTTACACCTCCGTTTTGTTGCATGAGAAAGTGTCTAGATGCTTGAAACATGGTAGCCTGCGTGTCATCGAGTTTTTGCAGTGTCATCCCGGTAACATGAATGGCTGCAATGGGAAGTCACCACCCTTAACCCGTAAGCATTTAGGGAAAACCCAGACGTAACCGCAACCTTAAGCCTAGGTCTTAACTGCGTAAGCCAAAGCCAAAAACCTTAGCCCAAACTTCCTACCCATCATTATAAACCCAAATCTTTACCTCAACCGCAAATGCAGACTACAACCTAGGCCTGTAAACCTTAGTCCTAGAAATTTTGGTGGTTAAAGATGTGAGATCTGCTTAAACCACACACGATAATCTCGTTTCGTCTTATGTCCGACGTCAGGGGGCTGTGAGGACAGGTTTATTCTGTACACGGGGCAGGTTGCCGTGAGTTGGCTGTTTGACTATGACAGAGATAGGCGTCCGTTTACGGAGAGCGTCAGTCGCGGTCTCATATACCCGGCCCGTGTTACCAATCAACGAAAGAAGTTGCATCGCTTGGCTTCGAGAGCACGTGAGGGTAGTGGCAAACCTTGCATGGTGCAGGCAGAGAATCGATCAGGAGTGCCGTGTGGACGGGATTGCAGCGAGACAGATCGAGGGTTAGTGTGTGCAGCCGTTGCGCGTATGCAGTCGAACGAGGAGGCACAGAAACGGCTGCTATAAAATAACCCAAGTCCTAATACTAACCCTAACTCCCACCGTATCCTTAACCCTAATCTTCAGCCCGATCCGAGCAACCTTAACGTCAATAACTCTAGTGAAAATCAAATGCCGCGCTCCGTATGACTCATTTGCCGACCTTTTTTCAGACAAACCGTTATGAACTAGAGAATGGTGTTGTCACCAAAGACAGTGGAGACTGAAATGACCATTGCTGGTTTATTAGGCGTCGACTGCCAACCGTACGCAACTCCGCGGGGCTCGATTCCACGACCTGTTGGTTAGAAGTCCAACATATTAACCGCTGAACCACGGGATCGTGGTAGGGTCGGTTGCAATCAGGTATATACAATGTGGGGGACGCTCACCGATCGTTTGCGGGACTTACTCGTCCCGTTATGCCTTGAAGCCGCATCACACCTACCCAGGAAAGATAAGATGATAATTTTTTTGAAAAACCCACCATGGGATCACATTCCCTAACCCTGCATACTGTCAAAATGAAATGTCGTTCAACATAGTAGTGAATTTCAAGACAAATGTTTAAAAGCTTGTTTGTTGTTGGGAGTCGAGTTGAAACCATTGCATATGGAGCCATAACGAAGGGAAATCAGTTAACAGAATGAATTTGCTGACAAACATTTGGCATTTTTAAAAATACCCTGGTTAAATGACGATGGCCAGTTTCCTCTACTTTAACCCCAAGCCTGAACAGTTTTGCAGTCTGCACTGTCAATATGGGTGTAGTCTGTCGCCCTCTTAATCGCATAACTGACAAAATTCTTACTTTATCCTTATATGCACAATCAGCTGCCTCCTTCCTTTAAAGTGATGTTAAGGAAGGATCAGAAGGATCTGAATGCATTTCCAGGGTGTTTCTTCGCAATATATGCTCGCTTTGATTTTTTTGCCCCTTTTGGCTAACTGATTAAATCTCGATTACCAAGTAATCACTATTTTATTGGGATGTAGGCCTCAAATCATTCACTATTATCCGCGCACGTTTCGACATACTGTTTAAAATTTTAAAAAAGGTGTACTAAGGGTTTGTTCAGCGTGAGGTGGTTGATTTTTAAGCTGTTGTTTGATGTACGTTGCTTAACAATCATCAGTCCCATTTCGTCGCATACGCTTTCTTTGAATGTACTCTCAAAGAAAAACAGTCCCATCATATGGGATTATTCCATGTCCATTTTTTATTTAACGTTTCATTGCCAGACTGCTAGCTGTTCGCTTTGTCAACTTATCTATTCAAGAGAGAAAATTCAGTGTGATGTGAAGGCTATTTATACTTTGTGATTTCCCAAATATGTCGACCTGCTAAAAAATTGTCTTAAATCCAAAATAGGATCCGTATAGAGTCTGATTTGAATGCCTACGCAGACATCATGTAGGAGGCTGCATAAGCGATCGCTAATTGGAAAACCTTCACCCAGTATGCACACCCATCCCGCGCTCGTATGCTCCACCGAAGATCCATAAGAACGGTCCAACAATCCGTCCAGTCTTGGACATGTGAGGCTCTGCTGATAGAAGCGAACAAGCGAGTTCCAGGTAGCAGTTTAGAAGATGAAGATGCGATCACTGGACTAAGAAATTTATTGGCCTGACGTTTCGGATTCTCACTCGAATCCATCATCAGAGACGTTCGCAGATAAAGGTGATGGTGGCATCAGGAGTGCAGTATTTATAGCACCTGGCTGCCATGGGACCGTATGCGCACTGCAACTAGCAGTGCGCATACGGTCCCACCGCATCAAAAAAGGTGAATGAGGAGGCAATTAGGCGGACGTACTTTAGAACCAAAGTGATTAGGCGTGATTTTGACAGAAGACACGATATGAGACATCTTAGGTTTCAAAAAGGGATGTTAATGTGATGATTTTAAACGGGTGGCAGATGGGTAGTGGGAGGTTTTAAGAAAAATTGTGGAACGCTATCAGATCTGGTAACTGTTGAACCATGGGGGAGGCGTTGAACCCTAACGCTCCAACAGTCCCACAAAAACCAACTTTGAAAAACACCTCCATTCTAACCCTAATAACTTTAGGCAGAGCGATAAAGTCATGTTAGGTTTAACAATGGCAGATTTGGGCAGAAGTCGCATCTCGCAAATTTCATTTATAAGGGACAACAGATAGTTAGAGAATTTTGAAAGTTTTGTAGGAAGCAATCAGTTAGGCTACCCAGGTCCCAAGTGAAGGCGTAATGTGGGCATTGTAAGTGATGTAAGCCAAAGGAGGATTCTGAAATCGTTAGTGGAAAAGTAGCCGAAGCTAAAAGGGAAAAGATATATCTAATGCTTTGGTTCAGAGTTAGGGTTGGTTTTACGGTTTGCGTAAGTGTCAGGCCGAGAATTGGGTTTTTGATAAGGCAGTACATAAAGGGGAGCATATAAATTGTGGCCTGGATATCCAGTCACGAGGTTTCGGATCTTTGTGTCCTGGCGGAATTTGGAATGATCAGGCCCTTTGCCTGGTTGGGAAATTGTAATGCAGAGAAGTCTGAATGAATGCTCAATGACCTCACTCGTTTGGTCAAACTGCTCTTTACCGCATACGAGCCCGAGTCAGCATCGTTGGAAGGAGGGTATTGATTTGCCAGCGTGTAGGTATCAAAAAGAATTAGTAAGTCCAGTTTCATTCACTTTGTCAGCTATAGACATAAACCCAAGCCAGATACTTGCAGCATCATTTAGTGTGGGGGTTATTTCTAAAGGACTTGTTATGCACTGTAAAAGCTCGGCTGTTGACATGCTGTCTTGGAAAAAGCATCTAATATTTATAGTGTCATTTGTTCCGAGGTAAGGAGAGTTGACTGGTGAAAAAAATACCCCCCACATTTTAATTACTTTTTATTTGCTCATCTTCCATTCCCAACCAGAAGGACCCCTGTTTTGGTCAAGATGGACGGGAAAAATGTCTCTTTAATTGTCATTTTAAGCTCTCGAGTCTGCGTCGGCATTCTTTTCGACTGAAAAATGTAGCCTACTGAGTATTTTCATTTGCAACGAGAGCTCTGACTTCGGCTCTGTCATTTCTCACATCATCTAATCCAACAAGTGAAAGTTAGTTAGTTGTCAGCTAGTAAGTACAATTTAATGAACGATCATCTCATGGTAACGGTTTCACTTTCCAGAGAACACGGGAATCTGAATTGTAGACAAATCAAAGCAATGGCAGAAACTTTGGTCTATTGATACAAAGCTTTGACACTTGGTCGCTCAAGTTTAACTACGATTTGGATGTTGACATTAAAATTTAGAGCGAAATCGATAAGACAACTTACAGTTGAATTTGCCTTGGTCAAAAATATGCACTAAGACTGGTCGATTTAGGCGTACTGCCCTCGACCACTGCGTTCTCGTCTTTTTGTAGGAAATGTTAGTGAAATTCAAGACAGCGGTCGCTTATTACCTGCGATGCGCACTTGCGATACCAAACAACCCATTTGACCAACTAAGTGGAAAATTATCTTTACAAAGCGGGACGTCCGGTAGACAGCTTTACAAGTAATCAAGTATAAAACTCCCTGACTATTCCGACAGAAGGCGAAAAATACCACTGAACTACAGTAAGTGAGCTAGCTCGTGAAATCTCAACAGAAATTACGAAACGCGTTTTCGTTTCGAAAAGATTAATTAAGTTGGGTTGAAGAACCAATCAGCTTGCAGCATAAATTTATAAAAACTCAGTTGTCGCAGGACGTTGGCTTTTAAGTAAACGGCTTGTGCCGAGGCACCAGACTATCTTGCCTTTCCCTGCTTGTTCCTCATTCTTGAACTTACTGGTTGTTTAACTAAATGGAAGGAACACAACGCTATGCGACGCGCCTCGCATGTGTTGGATTGTCAGGTCGTTTGACTTCTGATTGTTAATTCTTTCATAACTCTGGTCTTATCCTGATATTCATAGTCTGGGACTGTCGGTTCTGCCTTTAACGCTCTCGACAGTGGTGACCTTTTGACGTTCGCGCTTATACCTTTAATTTGTTGACTTTCTACCATCATGATCTCTACGAATTCCAACGATGCCAATACTTCACTCATCGGACTTGTTTCTTCTCTCCCAGACTTTTGGCAACATGCACCAGAGCTTTATTTTTTCTGTATTGAGGCGACTTTTCACTCCGCCAAGATAACGCGTGAAACCGACAAGTATTAGGAATTGGTCGTGGCCCTTCCTCCCACCATTTATTCTCAAGTGCAGACGGTTTTGAGAGATCCTCCGAATGATGCTCCGTACACCAAGTTAAAGGCTGAACTTCTTCGCCTGACGTCAATCCCCGATCGGCAGCGTTGTCACGCGCTAGTAAAAGCGGAGGCCTTAGGTGATCGCAAGCCGTCGGAACTCTTGCGTCGTATGCGTTCTCTGGTTGGGAACATGAAAATCGACGACAATTTCTTTAAAGAGATGTTTTTAGAACGTCTGCCGACGTCAGGACAAGCAATCTTGGCCTCTGGCTCCGACGACCTAGACATATCAAAGTTAGCGGAGATGGCTGACCGAATGATGGCGGTTGAGCGTTTGTCATCCCCGACCATTGCTCAGGTGTCCCAGCCTCTCAGCGTGTTCACCTCTGAATTGACTGAACTAAAGACACAGATTGCCCAGTTGTCAGCGACTTTTGCCGCTTTGCAGCTGCGCCGATTCCCCGGTCCCTCTCGACGTTTTTTCGGCCGTGACCGTCGTCGTTCCCGCTCTCGCCCCAGGACCGCCAATCTATGTTGGTATCATGTCAACTATGGCGATAAGGCGCGGCGCTGTGTCCCACCCTGCTCCTTCAAGTCCACGCAGGGAAACTCCTCGGCCGGAGAGTAAATGCGGCCGAGTGGCAGACATTTTTTAGTCGACACTGGCGGTCAAATTAGTGTTATCCCTCCCAGGCCAGCCGACCGACGTTACCCAAACCATGGTCTTCACCCCCAAGCTTTCAACTGTTCCCCCATTCCCACTTTCGGCAGTCGGTCCCTCACCCTGAACACTGGTCTTCGTCGGTCATTCACTTGGATCTTTGTGATTGCTGATGTCCCTCATGGAATCCTCGGCCCGGACTTTCTTGCCAAGTTCGATCCCCTTGTTGACTACCGACGTGCCCGTCTCCTCGACCGCACAACCGGTCTGTTTCTTCGTGGACTAACTCCCTTTACTACCCCCGCCAACTTATCTGTCTTGGATACGGATATTGTTAGCCCCTTTCGGCAACTGCTTCTTTGTCACCCCAACATAATTAATCCCCTGTTTTGCAATGGTGAGGTTCAACATGATGTTGTGCACCATATCCGCACCTCGGGTCCTTCCGTGTTTGCTCTCCCGAGACGATTAGCATCGGAGCGTTTTCACGCCGCGAAGGCGGAGTTTGAACACATGCTGCAACTGGGAATAATTCGACCGTCCGAGAGCCCTTGGGCGTCGCCACTGCACATGATGCCCAAGGCGACATCAGGCGACTGGAGACCCTGTGGCGACTATCGTGCCCCCAACAACGCTACCATTCCTGATCGGTACCCCGTGCCTCATCTTCAGGACTTTGCTGGAGCCCGTTCAGTACAGCGTACTGGTTATTGTGCAGTTTTAACATATAAGGCATTTACAGACAACTTTATACCAGTAACATATGCTTTCTGTACGTAATTACTTACCTTTGACACTTGCCTTACACATTGTTTTTGTGACTTTTCCCTCAATAAATCTTATCTGCTCTGATCTGAGTTTATGTTTCGGTTGTTTGCTGACTCTGACTTACTGCCGGCAACCAAGCCCAATACCCCACATCGGTAGTTCTCCCAAGGTACAGAAATATGTCGCTTACGACACCCCGATTGACATTAGACGGTGTTGCATAAGCTGGAGCAAGGTGAGTTGTAATCAACGGCCCTGAGAACACTGATTACATCGGTTACGCGCGGATAAATCCGCTGACGCATCTATCGACTACAAAAGTATGGTAGAGGACTGACAACTGAGCAAACGTGGAAGGAGACCACACGAGGGACGACCGAGTAATGAGGACCTACCCTGACTCTAAACATACGTGCGGTGTCCTACCAATTGTAACCACCTCCAGTAACAAGAGACAAGAAAACAAAATGCATTTCCACGGTCCTTGAAATATCTTCAATGCCGAAAGGGGTTTCATTTGAATTTGTTTATGGGAGAGTCCATTTTTTTAAAAAAAAGAGAATAAAGCGAACGCTATTTTGCAGAGGAACGTTGAGATAGGCCAGGATCTGCCGACAGTAGCGATCAAATGATTAATTATTCGGCATCTGTACGCAGCTGAGATGCAGCATCCGTCTGACGGGGACCTGTAAATGTTCAATAAATAAGAATTTAGCAAAACGCATTCTGGAAGTCTTAATTTAATTTCGAAAATAAGAGATAAAAATGGACGCTGCTCATTTGCGAATGGGTGTAGTTAAAACCATGCCTATCCTTGGGAGTTTTTTCTGCGAAAAAAAGCTGCAGAGATCACCTAGTGTATGCACAAATCTACTTTAGTTATTTTCGGTAGTTGACTAAAAACAGGCTGAACTGAACTGCAGGCAATAATATTGATTATGTTAGAGGGGCGCTCGCCGACCGTTCTTACGGAACTCACTCGTTCCGTTGTGCCATACGGGCTCTCTCTCGAGCCCAACCAGCAGTCGCACAGCGGCGCATGATATAGGCGGAATGTTTTTACCGAAAAGGACAAGGGAGACTGTTCCGCACTTCGGGCTGACAACGGAAAGTAAGCCAGAAATGTCCATTCCAGTCCCCCTTGTCTTTGTCAGTAATAACATACGGCCTATATCATGGGACGCTGTGCGGCTGCTGTTTGGGCTTAAGAGATAGCCCGTAAGGCACGACGGAACGAGTTAGTACCGTAAGAACGAGCAGTGAGCGCCCCCTACCATTGTGTCTTCCCGATCAAAACCGACAGGGCAACGGGCTCGTGGCCCAGTGGTAAGAGACCTTTGAATTTTAACTAACAGGTCACGAGTGCGAGCCGCAATTGTTCCGCACTTCGCGGTTGGGTATGACTGGCTGACGACGGCTAATAAGTCAGAAATGGCCATTCCAGTCTCCCTTGTATTTGTCAGTAATAACATTCTGTCAATATTGCTTATGCTTTTAGTAGCGTCACTTCATTTCACTATGATCACGGATAACTAAGGCTGTGATATAAGTAATACTCTTACAAGCACAATTCACGCAAGAAATTCGGCTCAATAATGATCCAACCATTCTGCCCAGGAACCGGTGGTTCGGTCAGTCATCGACGTCCACACCATCAACTTCTTGTCGCTAAAAGGCTATGATTGTGCTAAGGCCGGTAGTTCCAATATGGACGATGAAGCTGTGAGTCGGCTCGTCGCACATAAGTAACACATAGCAAACGCGAAAACACTCCCTGACGGTGTGCTCTGCGAAATCGTCCACAAAAATCGGTGCAGCAATAGTGCCACCTGTTCTTAGAATTTTACAAAATTGTGGAAAGGTTCCCTTGTGCCTATTTTACCTAATCTCCCTGCAAATAAGAACGCCAACACAGTGCAAGCTACTTCTTATTTAGACGCTTCTGGGTCTGCTGACCTGTATGACAAGCAGTATATGACTTAACTCATTCATGGCGATGGCGGCGACTGATTTGATGTTTTTCAGGCCTCTGAAACATTGCGCATTTTGCTCATTTGTCCGGTCGCCCTCGAGCACAAGCGTTTATAAATTTAAGCAGCAATCTGCGTTAACATATATTCGGGTAACTTCACATATTTATAGCTGACCTAGATTTAGTACGCACATCCGAGCGGTTTTTCTTTGAGAGGAGGGTAGCCTTACGTTGAAAGTTTTTTCAAACGAAATTTTTCCCATTTGCCAATTAATTTTCGGCTGGGAAAAACCATGAACAATTGGTTGCAAACGCAAAAAATCCAATCGTTTTATCGATTTTTAAGTCTCTTTTACAAATCTGAGTGATTTCATGCCCTAAAATTCAGTAATAATACGTGCAAGTAATCGTGTGTTTAAATATGCCAGACACGAATGCCTTATGGAGTGACCGCAAAAATAACCTCCATTGGGAGTGGAGGTTATGCTAAGATTCGAGCTATTCTTGAGGCTACGGCTGTCAGGCTTGGGTTGCGTCTCAGATTTGGGATTGGAGCAAGTGTTGGAGCTCAGAGTTTGGATCTGCGATTAAGAGTTAGGGTTAGAGCTAGGGTTTCATGGTTAGAGTTAAGGTTGTGGTTTTCAGGCTTCCGTTAAGGCTACGGTTGGGATCGAGTTTTCCCCAAAAGCTTAAGGGATAATGATTAGGGTTACCCATTAAAGGCATAACCACGGTTGGTGTTGGGGTACTAATACATTTCATTTCTTTAAGGGGATTACTCACACTTCCCCTTCCCGCACTACTGTGAAACGAGACACATTAATTGGAGTCTTTATGGACATAACTAAAGCATTAATCGAATACGCTCAGTGATAACGAGTACGTCATTTAGCAATGTGCAAACAATTAGACCTAATCGCTTGAAAGAAGTCGGAATAACCATTTTTCATTTCGGTAGAGCCTACTTCCCTGAACGGTTTGTAATTGCAAAATACGTAAGTCTAAAAGAATTCAGATTACATTCAGGAATTCAAAGAGCGTTATTGATGACTAGTAATTAGCAAGAGATAAATATGTCTTAATCGAATGAACTTTTACTTATGCTCTTCTTCATTCGTGAGGAGATCGTGTTGGCTGGCACATTCATTTGAGTACACACTCGACGCGCATCAAACTTCCCAATTACCAACCACACATGCACCCACATGACCAGTCGACAAACTTGAATGCAACTACGCTACTCGCAGTAAATGAGTAGACGTTATTTTTTCAGTTTTTGACCAGCAGACAAGTGATTGCCTTCCGCATGCAATTATGCAAACAGTCTCTTCTCAACTTTCCACTTGTCGCTACTTTTTCTTAGACACTCTCTAACCGATACGGACTTCAAAGGCGTTCGTCTATCATACCTTCAATAAAGCTAAACTGACCATTAGCAATCTTAGTTTGAACGAAGTTTTAAGCACAGCATCTGCAATCTCTCCTGCAACCTTGCCTACTACAGTCGCCGTCTGCACTTATGGTTGTGTTCCTAAGACCAGAGTATGGTGGTTCAACATAAAGTTCAAAGGCCACCAAAATAACCTCGTAGAAACTCACCATGCTGATCCAACACCCACACAGTCGGATGCGTACTTCTACTGACATTAATCTGAACATCGCGTATAGTGTGTCCCACTGCAAGGATGCGATCCGGGTCGGTTTTTGGCCAGAGCACAATGTTGCCACTCCCGGTGCGCATGTTTGTTGAAAGATTTTTATGCATTTGCACGCTCAACACCTCCCCAAAACGTCCAAAATGGGTCACCAAATCATTCCTGCTGATAGTAGCCTTCAGACCAGTTAAAAGTAATGTCAGAGCTCTCCGTGGTGTACTGGCAGGCCTTCGTACTTCCAGGCCTATTTGTTGCTGCGACGCTTGCTGCTGTCGCGTTGTTGTCTTTGCTGATGTTGCTCTTCCTGACAGTGTTGCCTGATTTTCACACTGCCTCTGTCTTGGTGTTGATGCCGTTGCCATTGTTGATTTCGACCGTTTTGTGGATTTCTGTTGTTGGTCGTTCCGCTGTTGTTGTTTCCTCTGCTGCCATTGAGTGAGTCGGGTTTGGGTGGAGGCCGTCTGCGTCGGAGTCTCGAATTTGGGCACCGAAAGTTGTGGTTTCCTGGAAATGTTCTGTTTGTTATTGGTTCCAAGTAGTCTGCAAACGATTATGACATGGTTCGTGTATAGCAAATTGCAGTAGCAATTTGGTTATAACAATTTTTGCATTTGCTTAATCTGTTGGCCGGCCAAATACAATCCAAGCCACGTCTTTCGACTAGGGTAAATATGCAGCCACCGCAAGTTTCGTCTTGTGGCATAAAAGAATCAACATTTCAGATAACTTCGGTTGTGGGGTGGATATTGGAGAGTCGCATATTTGTCAGATTTGTTGACCATGACTCAGTGGCAGATAAATTCCTGGGATCTTAGAATGCTAGCCGTTTTCCCCCACCGAACGGTTGACTGTTTTTGTTCCTTTACTATGCCTCCATTTTCTATTATTCGCATTGAAACAGCAGAGATCATTTACTTTAAATGAAAAAGAGACAATAACTCCGATGTTGCCTATCTGGCAGCAAAGGAATCCTCACTAAATGTCATTATTCTACCAAGGAATCGACCTTGCGGCTAGCATTTTCTACCACCTGGCAAAATAGATAAGGCTGTCCTCGACATGAATACATTTGAAAAGCCCAGATGAGCATCTAACAACAACTGTGACAGAAAGCGATCGATAGTCCCTGTGAGAAGAACCACACTGGCGGCCATTCAGCCACTTGTCCTCTTTCCAACTATTCCGTTTATGGATCAGTTACCCACCACTAACATTAACCCCCCTCCCCTGAAATGCAACGCTGAGCTACATGTCACAGGAGGGTGAGGGTAGTTATTCCTATGTCCTACCGTTAAATCTCCCGCTTTTTTAGTGTGGTTTTACTACAAGCCAATCCTGCTTCATCCTAACTGAATCCAGTAATTAGCAGTACAAACGAAAAACAGAAAATCTTCAGTTGACAAAAATCACCTTTTAAATGAAGTAGAATTGACAGCAGACTGTGAATCATGAGAGCCGCCGGCTTTCGGTGGATTGCCGCAGGTAGTTGTTGCAGGATCCGACTCGGACTCCACCGATCTCTCATCCACAAGAAGATTCATGCTATCCAACTTGGCGCCAAGCTGTGATGGAAAGGCGTTCTTTAGTGTAATGCTGTCAAAGTATTAAGATTTCCAGAGGTATTTGTGGGTCTCAACCTCAATTAAATTGGATCAGTGTACTGCTCTGACCACGGAGGTGTTCCAGCCCATTCAAATGAACAAAAGAAGAGATCATCATCATCATCAGAAGAAGAAGACGAAGAAGAAGAAGAAGAAGAAGAAGAAGCGATCGCTGGAACAAGGGTTTTATTCGCCTGACGTTTCAGATTTTCACTTGAATCCATCATCAGAGACAGTGACAGAAAAGGGTGACTCGTGCACAGGAAATCGCAGTATTTAAAGGATGCAGTCGCTATGTTACCGCATACCTATAGCAATTAACCGTGCTCCCCTTCATCAAGGATGGCTGACCGCTGGTGCGATAATTGCTTGATGGCCGGCATGCAAGTTGTTAATTGCTGAAATATCATCACCCGTGTCGGACGCTGGCGTGATGATTGTTCGGCCATCTGGCTCACCGGCTTGCGCGCTCCCCGAGTGGTCAATTACCTTGGCCAGCCTATGCCTCAGCACGTAATATGGAGTGGAGATGTCGTTGCACATGTTGATAGACTGTGGTCCCGTGAACCATGACTCAAGATCAAGATCATGTTGAAAAATGTGGGATACTATATCCGGTCTGAGGTTTTGATTATTTATTAGATTATTGCTCTTATTCTGACTGCTACACGTACCTAGTCTGTAGAGTAGCTGCCCAAGGTGCGCTGGAAGCCTAAGGCAAAATAGAAAATTCCTAATGGATCGAACAGCGACAGCTTCGACGGAGCATAATGCATCGGGAAGTGCATTTTAAAATGATGGGAAGATGATTTACACAAAGGAGGACTTCCTAGTGTTTGAAAAGGCTAAAGGGCATGCCAGCTTTATAATTCTGAAGAAGGTGGGTGTGGGACTCCTGGTATTAGTCAGATGAACGACGATGGACATCTAACGAAGGTAAGTTGAAAAGGCATTTGCTGGTAGAAAAAAAACACGAAAAAGCGTAAACTTACAGACTGCAAATTGTCAGCCACAGTCAAATCACAAATGGCAAGATGGCCGTATCCGGACGCCAGCCGGCTGGAAACCGCGAGTGCGTTAACGGCATTTAGTGCCGCATTTCTCAATTTACACAACCCGAGGACACCCTAGAAAGGGAAAGAAAGCTGTCCAAACTATGTAGATGTGTTAATAGCTAGGTTTTGGAAACGGGAGTTAATTAACTGTATATTTGTTGACTCATAAAATGCTAGCAAAAAATCTGAAATGCATTTTTGACTTGAAAATAGTGCTTAAGGAGGGTTGTGATAATAATCATCCTGCAGCATAATTCCATCATAATTCAGTTACTACAGACTGCCAGCTTTTGAGCGAACTTCCTTCTGGCCGCCCGCAAAAACTATACTCTGTGGAAATGACTACCTAAATAACATGAATTTTTCTCATTCATTTTCAATGCCCTTAAAAATATAATTCTATTTCATGGAAAGCAGGCATAAAAATATTCGGGCTTTTATTCATTCGGTAGAAACTTATGTTTTCTTAGAATTTTATACTTGAAGGGAGGTTGCGATTCGGTTTTCGACAACTTCTTCCAATTTGAGAATAATTTTGAAACCGATCTGCCATTACAT